CGCAAAAAAAAGAAAAAAGAAAAAAAGAACCCAGATGTCTGGCTCCCTACTCCACCTACTCTCACCCCACAGGACCCTCCATGGAGAGAGAACCCAGGTGTCTTGGCCCTTCCCACCTCCCCCAGCTTTGTCCCAGGGTTGAAGGAGGGGCATGCTGGGGACCCCACTCACCTCTTTCCTTGCCCCCCACCCCAGGGTGAAGCTCTTCAAAGGCCGCAAGATCCATGGGGACATCGAGGTCCGGGTGGAGCAGGTGGGACTGGGGGGACCTTCCAAACCTGGCCCTCCACCCCTGGGAGACCTCTCTCATGCAGTTCATGGGGGCTGGGGCTGAAATTGGGGGAGCTTGGGACATAGCCTGCCTGCTAGGAGGAAGGGGTGGTGTGGCGGGCCTGGGGTTGATATTGCGGGGCTTGTGGGGGATGGTTGGGGCAGTGGACAAAGGGAGGGAGCCTGGGGGCCCTGGGCCTCGCTGGTTTGCAGGGACTGGGAGGAGTCTGAGGGATGTGGGGGGGCTTGGCTGGGGTTGGGGGGGCCCCAGAACTGGGCTGGAGGGGGTCAGGGGGCCCCAGTATCTGTCCAGCTGCCCCCCTCCCCAGCCCCCTGTCTGTTTGCTCCCACCCAGGCAGAGTTCTCAGAGCTCAGCCTTGTGGCTCAGGCCAACGGCACTTTCTCAGTGGCCATTGAGGGGCTGCGTGGCCTGACCAAGGTCGTCAGGTGAGCAGAAGTGTCCACCCCCCCCACCTCGCTGCCCACAAAACCTAGGTATCCTGGCTCCCGCTCCATATATGGGTAGGCCTCATGTTGGGGGTTGAGGGTGGCTCCCTGCTGTCTCCTGGATGCCTTGGTCCTCCAGGATCCCAGTGATGCCCTGAGGGAGGGGGGCAGGGCGGAGTCTCTTCTGGATACCTGGGCTTCCATAATTTTGGTGGTGGGGGCGGGGACCTCCTCCAGGACTCCTGGGTTCTCATGGGGCGGGGAGGACGCTCTAGGGTCCCGGAGGTGCCTTGAGGAAGTCCGTCTGCCCCTCACTGGATGCTTGCGTTCTCATAGAGTATATGTGTGTGGGGGTGGGGGGGGCAGCAGGGGATTCCCTTCCCCCTCCCCCTCCTAAACTCCTGAGATCTCCTATAGGGTGAGGGGGTAGGGGTCACTCTTGCAGACTCCTGGGTTCCTTATTGGGTGGAAGGATTCTTCTCGGGGACATCTGGATTCTTTATTGTGGGGCCATTGGGGGTGGGGGTGTGCAGGGGTGGCAGCAGGGAAACGCATACACTCCTAGTTCCTCTAGAGTCCCAGTGATACCCTGGTTGGGGGATGGGGGGCCCCCTTTTCCCTCCTGGACTCCTAGGTTCCCATATGGTGATGGAGGGTCATTCTCTTGGACTCTTGGGTTCCATACTGAGGGTGGGGGTGCCATTTTCCCAGACTTCTGAGTACCATACTGGTGGCAGGGGGAGGGGGGTGTTATTCTCCTGGACTTGTGGGTTCCCCTATGAAGGCAGGATGCTATCCCAGACATCTGGGTCCTCCAGGATCCCAGTGATACCCCAATGTGGGGATAGAGGAGGGGCTTTTCCCTCCCAGACTTCTGGGGAGGGAAAAGCCCCTCCCATATGGTGAGGGGGTCCTTCTCTTAGACTCCTGAGTTCCCACAGTGGTGATGCAGGGGATGCACACAGTCTTCCAGACTCCTGGATCCTCCAGGGTCCCAGTGATGCCCTGATTTGGGGCAGAAGGTCCCCTCTGCTCCTCCCAAACTCCTGGGTTCCCATACAGTGGCTGTGGGGGGGTCCTTCTCCCAGACTCCTGGGTTCCATATTGGGGGCAGGGGGCTGGGTCATTCTCCTGGTTTCCTGGGTTCTCCTATCAGGGCAGGACACTCTCCTGGACTCCTGGGTCCTCCAGGGTGCCAGTGATGCCTTGATGGGGGACTGGGTGGAAGTCCTGTCCCCCTGTCCTGGGCTTCTGAGTGGGGGAGGGGTATTCTCCTGAACTCCTGTATGCTCTGAGATCCTAGCAATGTCCTTGATTGGGAGCGGGGGGTGGGGGGAGTGTTTCCCCCCACCTCCTGCCACCACTCCTAGATGCCTGGGTTCTCCCACAGGACATTGCGGCCCGACTTCGTGTTGGTGCGACAGCATGCCTACAGCACGGCGCGTGGCGGTGACCATCGGGGGCTTGTCATTGGGCTGCAGTATGCTGGGGTCCCAGCCCTCAACTCCCTGCACGCCATCTACAACTTCTGTGACAAGCCCTGGGTGGTGAGTGAGGGGCACTGTCGGGTGTGTGTGGGGGGGGGGCCCTGCAAGTTGGGAGTGAGGGGAACCACTTGGGAGATGGTGGGGGGGACATGGGTCAGGATGGAGGGGCAGTGTGGGGCCATGGCAAGGGGCTGCGCATTGAAGTGAGGGGCACCAGGGAGTGATGGGAGAGCTGCAGGTTGGGAGTAAGGGGCACCATGGGGCCATAGGGGGGTTCTTGGGGAATTCCTAATTCCCCAATTCCTTCTCCCCCCCCCCCCCCCCCCCCCAGTTTGCCCAGCTGGTTCGCTTGCGTCGGAAGCTGGGGGCTGATGAGTTCCCACTCATTGACCAGACTTTCTACCCCAACCACAAGCAGATGGTGAGTGCATGAGGGGTTACAAGGGGACTGTGGTCATGGTGGGGAAGGGAGGCCACGCTGTGCTGGTGGGAGGGATGATACTGGCTCTGTCCCAGAGACTGGGTGTGCGAGGGGCCCTGTGTTGCATGAGGGGGGTGTGCAAGGGGAAGGAGGGTGATACGAGTTACACCTCTCACAAGTGGGTGCAAGAGAGGAAGTGTATGTGTGTGGGGTGGGGGCTTAGTGTGGGCCTGGGCTCACAGCCAGCTGCATCATACAAGTGCCAGAGCCTCACACAAGGATTCCCCCATACCCCCATCTTCCTTGCACAAGGTTTCCTCCCCTTACACAAGCACTTCCCCCACATTGGCCTTGCAAGAGGAGTCCTTACACCTCCACGTGACTTGCATAAGGCCCCCACAGACAAGGGGCAATGGGCCTGGGTCTCGGAGGTCATTTATTGGGGGCTTACCCAGTAGCAGGGCAGAGGTTAGGGATCACTGATGGGCAGGCAGGGCCCCACGGGCCTTCAGGAGCTGCCAGGTGCAGAGGGGCAGGCCAGGGGTGGGGCCTGGCGGGGACCGGGAGTGGGGTAGGCAAGCAAAGCGCTGGGCCTGGGTCCCCTGCCAGCCGTGCCCGCTCAACCTGTCCATCCACAGGCACTGGGAGTCGGAGGTCACTGTGCACGGCAGCGCCTGGCAGGGCAGTACCTGTGAGAGAGGCGAGATCAGCACAGGACAAACCCAAGGCCCCATCCACTGGCCCAGAAGTTGTGCCTCTGTTCTTAAGCCCTGCCCTTCAGGTCTAGGACCTGCCCACCAGCTCAGAAATCCCACCTACCTGCCCTGAGTCCTGCCCCTAGGCCTAAGACCTGCCAGTCAGCCCTAATCCCCACCCCAAAATCTTAAACCCCACCCCCAACTCTAAGTCCTGCCCCCAACATTTAGACAGGCCACCAGCCTCAAGCCCCACCCACCTGCCCTAAGTCCTGCCTTCCAGGGCTAGGACCTGCAGGTCAGCCCCATCCCACCCCCAGTCCCACCTCTAAATCCTAAACCCTGCCCTCACAATCCTAAATCCCCTCCCCAGATCTTGGACCACCCCCAATCCCAAGGCAGTGAGGACAGAGGGGGAAGGGGGTGTGGCTAAGCAAGGACACTCCCACCTGCCCCACCCATGAGAGGTCAGGCCCTGCTCTTTAAATGCTCCAAGAGTAGGGGGGGGGGGCAGGTTTAATCTAGGCTCCACCCCCAGCCCACAGGCCCCACCTACTCACCTGGCAGTGGCAGCCTTTCTCATAGGCCTGCATTAGGCCTCGGTGCTGCCCAAGGCTCAGCTCTGCCCATGGCTGGATGAAGGAGCATGATGTCACTGTGGCCCGACCATCCTCAAAGGATGCTGGAAAGAGAGGTGGAGTTAGGGGTGGGGCCAGGTGGCTCCACCCCCCAGGCCACACCAGTCCCGTCAGCCCCAGCACCCAAGCTCTGCCCTTAAAGTATGTCAATGCCTCAAGCCTGGCCCCAAGCCACATTGGTGCCTCCTAGCCCCAGGATGCCAGGGTCCTTCCTCCATTCTGTGGTGGTGGAGGAGGGAATGGGGCCTAGATGCCTGGGTCCTTTCTCCATTGTTTTCGGTGTGGGGGTTGCAAATGTGGGTGTGCTGGGGCCCAGACCCTGGATTTTTTTCTGTTGTATGCAGGGGGCAGTGGTGTGTGCTGGGGTCCCGGACACCTGGGTCCTTTCTCTGTAATCTAAGAGAGTGGGGAGCTGAAACACCTGGGTTCCTTTTCCATATGCATGGGAAGTTGGGGTCTGAGGATGCTAGGGCCCTGGATGCCTGGGTCTTTTCTCCATTATATAGGGAGGGGGCAGTGTGGGGTTCAGGGGTCCCAAACACCTGGGCTCTTTTCTCTCTAGCCTGGAAGTAGGTGGGGAGCCTGGACACCTGGGTCCTTTCTTCATTATGTGGTGGGGAGGAGGCAATAGGTCTCAGATGTTTTGGGTCTTTTCTTCCTTATGTGGTGGAAGCAAAGGGGTTCATTGGGGTCTTGGATGCCTGGGTCCTTTCTCCCTTACGTGGGGGTGGGGGGCAGTGGACACCGGGGCAGGGGGATTGGTTCTTTCTCCATTCTATAGGCAGGCAGTAGGGTTTGTGGGGGGTGCCGGATACCTGGGTCTTTTTTCATTATGTGGAGGAGGGAGATGGGGGGACTCTGGAGCCTGATGCCTGGGTTTTTTGCCCATATTCCAGGACAGGGTGGGGAGCCTGGACACCTGGGTTCCTCCCCTCTGTCTGGGGGTATTGGATCCCCAACACCAGGGTCTTTTCTCCATTTTATGGGCGGGCAGTGGGGGTTTGTGGGGGTCCCGGTTGCCTGGATCCTCACCAGCCACAACATATTCCTCCCCCCGCAGGGGGGCTGCATGCTGGTACCCGCACAGGCTCTCCAGGGTTGGGGTCTCCAGGTAGCGCAGGTCCTGTCCAGATACTGGGCCTTTGAGCACCTGGGGAGAGAGGGGGTAAGAGCCCAAATGTCTCGGTTCTCTGGGAGAGGAGTGGGGTTGGAGGGTGCAAGCAGGGTGAGGCAGTGGGGGAGGTTTGGGAGGGGGTCACAGGGGTCACCAGGGCCTATTTCAGTAGCACTGTGTGAGTCATTGGGGTAACTATGGGGGTTACAGGGTCCCAGGAGTGACGGGGGGGTCACAGTGAGGGGTCAGGGGGGGTCACAGGCGTCAATATGAGGGTAGCAGTGGTCAGATGGATCACAGTGGAGTTATAAGTCACAGCAGGGTTTCAGTGCAGGGGTCACAGACAGTGTTGTGGTGTATGTACAGAGGTCTTGGGGTGATGGTGGGATCACAGGGAGTGTTATAAGGTCATGATGGGGTGATCACAGTGGGGTTGCACCGGAGGTCATGGTGAGGTGTGGGGGTCACAGTGGGGTTGCAGTGGGTGTCATGGGGTCACTATGGGTGTCAGCAGGGGTCATGTCACAGTGGGGGTCATGGTGGGGTCTTGGAGGTCACAGGGTCATGGTGGAGTCACACTGGGGGTTGGGGTCATGACGAGGCTCATGGGGTCACGGTTGCCAATGGGGTCATGGGGGGTCGGGTTCACAGCAGGGTCACAATGGTGGATCATGGGGTTGTGTTGGGTGTCACAAGGTCACAGTAGGGCCCTACCTTGCTGGTCTTGATCTCATAGCGGACATAGGAGGCGCTGGCATTGGAGGATGCCTGTGAGAGCCCCATGAACCGGGCCCGGAGCACTGCAGGGGGGAAGGGATGTCAGAACCCCCCAGAGACCCTCCTACCCCCTGCATCTGCCAGGGGGAAGGAGCTCCCTACCCAACCTCTTGGTTTTCTTGGGTTTTGGGGTGAAAGGAAAATCTGGACCAGCCTCTCAGATGAGCCGTGCACGATCTGAGGAGGCTGGTCCCCCCCTGTGGGGGGGTCTCCATCCCCTGTCTGGAGAGATGGGTTGTTTAGAGCTTGACTAAGGGAATGCACTTGGACTGCTGCAACCACAGAGGCCTTCAATATGCATAGAGCCATCCTCTCCCAAATGTCTATGTTTAAAAAAGCTTGCCTAATAATTATTTTCCAACTATTTGGGTTGGTCTAATAAAAGATATCAGATTCACCCAAGGAACCTTGTCTGCCTGCTTTCTCATGTCTTGAGGTATCACCATCTCACTCCCAACTGCAGCTGACCCCATATCACCCCACAGTACCCTTCATTCCCAACCTTGTCCAATGGCGTCCTTCATTCCTGACCCATAGCCTGCCTCCCATCCCTTTGTGGTGCCCCTCACTCCCACAGCCCCTCCACCTTGCCCTCCCCCCCCATGACCCAGCCTTATCCCCACAAAGCCGCAGGGAATGTGACCCTGTGGGAAGGTTCCAGGCTCCTGCCTGGAACCTTCTTCTTTTTTTTTTTTTTTTGGGGGGGGGGCATGTATTTAACTCCACCTCCAACACTCTGGCAAGTGGCCCCTGTGATTCACCTGGCAGATTAAAGCACATTAAAAACCCATCACACAGTTCACACTGCTGTGTACCCCTGCACCCATCTCCATACCTCTGTGGTTTCTCCCATGCTCTTTGGGATGTCCCTGGCCCCTGCCCAGACGCCTGGGTTCTCTCACCCTGGTGAGGGGTCCCTGTCACCTTCCTGAATGCATGGGTTCTCATGAGCTGGGCCAGGGCAATCCTCTCGACCTCCTGGGTCCTCAGGGGCCATAGGGAGGAGGCACAGAACCTTCCCTTCCCCGAAGCCTGGGTTCTCCTCCTCCCTGGTGGGGGATTCCCCTCCCCTCCCCAGTCGTCTGGGTTCTTCCCCCCTGGGGGTTCCCCATCCCCCCTGAGCCTTGAATGCACTCACCGAGGTCGGCCTGGCAGTAGGCGCTCTGGGGGTGCTGAGGGGCGCAGCTGCAGGCGGAGGTGGGGCTGCCTCGGGCCAGGAGCAGCGCAAGCCCCGCAAGGAGCGGGACCCACTGGGTGGGGGCGTCGGCAGCCATGGGGCAGGCGGGACCAGCAGGCGGGTCGGCAGCGATGGGCGCCGTGAAGCGGGGCTGCAGATCCGGAGCGACGGGCACCGCGGGGCTCGCTGTGCCGGTCGGGCTGGTCGCTGCCCGTATATAAGCCGCACCGCCTCCCCCTCTCCTTCCTGTCCCGCTCCCGCCGGGTGGGGCATGGGGAGTGATGCAAACTCGGAGGTGATGTCAGCGCCTGGTGCGGAGGGGGCTCCAGGTCGGGAGTGAGGGGCCCCATAGCGTGACGCGGGGGGAAGTGGGGATGGGCTGCAAACAGCCCCTCCTGCTCCTCCGCCCAGAGGCAGAAAGTCCATGTGCTGGGGTTTTGGGGGAAGGTGCCTGGGCTCCCTCACACCAGAGCTGGGCACATCCCAGCCCTCCCCACGGGCTTGTTATGCTGGGCCGTTCCACGCCAGAGCTGAGCGCTTCTTGCTGTTGCTCTGTGGAGCCTTAAACTGGCCTATGCCCCCTGCTGCACCCCGGAGTGAGCTGTGGCTCAGGGCCCTGCTACATGGATAGAAACCAGCTCTAGATTCCTCACGCATTTTCGCTCTATGTAGCTAGACCCCCACACCTCACCGTGAGCTGGATACCTGTTTTATGGCGGCATCTGGACATGTGGCTGCTCTAAACACATCATGATTAACCCGATAATAGAAGCAGTGTTATACTTCGCGGTTCCGCCAGCCCAGAGCTGGGCTCATCTCGCTGTAGTTCTGTGGGACCTTAACCTGGGCCATTCGCTGCTGCTCTACCCCAGAGCTAGGTGAATCTCAGTCCTTCTTGGGCAGCGTTATACTCTTTTGTTCCCCAGCCCCACACCCCAGAGCTGCTGCATCCTGACTTCCCCCTGCAGTGTTATTCCTCACAGCTGGCTGCATCTCAGCCCTGTTCTACTTGGCCATGTCTCCCTACTACTCCACAAAGGCAGACATCTCCCGGCTCCTGCGTCATCATTTTCCATAAACATTCATCATGCTACATTCTCTGCCTTTCTCATCTGCCTCCTTTAATCCTGGCTGCCAAGGTGGTAACGTCATCACCCAGGCCACCCTGGCGGGTCCAGGAGCCCAGATGCCTGGGTTCTCTGGAAGGGGAGGGGGGCAGGCTAAGAGCTGGGAGCCCAGGTTCCTCAAAAGCAGGGTCAGGCCTGGTGCCAGGTTGGGTGGGGTGGGCCTGGACGCTTGCGTCCATTCAGATGAACCCGCTGCCCCCGCGTCTGGGTGCGTTTCAGCTTCTGGGAAGCAGTGCTTCGGGCAGCGGGGAGGGGAGGCTGCAGGGCAGGCAGCCAGCCCCGAATGGGAACCAGACACTTGGGCTGGGAAACGCCCCCGGTGGAGCCGGAACCCACGGCTGGGAGGGGAGGGGGGCTGTGGGTCGGGAGTGAGGGGCGTCCAGTGAGGAGGGGAGGATGGGGGGGGTGCAAGTAGGGAGTGAGAATACCACTGAGGGAGATGCAGATCAGGAGTGAGGGGCACCGCAGGGCTGGGGTGGGGGGTAGGGGGTTGGAAGTAGGGCATGGGGGGAATGGGAGGGTTGCAGGTTGGGAGTGAGGGGCACTGCAGGGTCTTAACACAACCCTGCCCCCCCCGCCCTTGTGTGAAAGTCACCCATTCGTGCGAGGCTGGAGCCCATGTGACCTGGGGTTTGACTCAGACCTCTGGGGGGGGTCACCCCAGTCATGAGGACCTGGTGGTGGGGATATCTGGGAGCTGGGACACCTGGGTTCTCTGGGAGGGTAACAGGAACTCAGCTGGGGTCAGGGCAGGGTTGTGGCCCAGATACCTGGGATGTCCACCCTGTGCCCAGGGGGAAGTGGGTAGGGTGTGGGATGCTGTCCCCTCTCCCCTCCACTCCTGCCAACCACAGGCTCGCGTGCAAGACCAGGGGCACACGTGAGCCTGGGGTGACTCAGGATGCCTGGCTTCTCTGGCCCACACCCACATGAAAGGAGAAGTGGGCTGGTGCTGGGTGGGGGTCAGGGCAGGCAGGAGCCTGGAACCTTCCCACAGGGTCACATTCCCTGCGGCTTTGTGGGGATAAGGCTGGGTCATGGGGGGGGAGGGGAAGGTGGAGGGGCTGTGGGAGTGAGGGGCACCACAAAGGGATGGGAGGCAGGCTATGGGTCAGGAATGAAGGACGCCATTGGACAAGGTTGGGAATGAAGGGTACTGTGGGGTGATATGGGGTCAGCTGCAGTTGGGAGTGAGGCACACCATGGGCAGCAGCTGTGGGTCAGGAGTGACAGGTACTGTGACAGCCCCCTTATGTCAGGGGGTGCCGGTCAGGAGTGAGGAGCACTGGGCAGGCTTGACCCCCTCCCCTCTCTTCTCCCTCCCATAGGTGACATCGCCACGGTTCCCGGTGGTGGTGAAGATGGGCCATGCCCACTCTGGGATGGGCAAGGTAAGGGGGGAGATGTCTGTCATGGGTGGGCAGAGCTCAGATGTAGGAAGGAGACATGACTTCATTAGTTGGCACACACCCCTCCCAGCCATCCAGGAGGCCCCTCCCTTGAGTGGGCAGGGAAAATAGGAGGGGCCTTTCCTGGAGTGGGTGTGGCTAGCCAGGTGTGGGCAGCCGATGGCGTGTCAACCCAATGAGGCGTGCTATTGGCCCTTCAGGGAAGCTGCACATGGAGGCATGGAGCCTGCTCAGGCTGATACCGTGTTGCTTGCAGTCCATATGCCACCGGATGGGCAGGCAGAACATGTCTCTCCCTAACACCTTCCTACAGCCAGCTTTCCCCCCCATCCAGCTCAGCCCCCAGCCAGCTTCCCCCCAACCTTGACTTGCAACTGCCCCAGACCCCTGCAAACCCCACTTACCTCACAGGTCCCCGGAAGGAAAGTGAGCCTGAGCCAAGCCTTCGATAACTAAGAGCCTCAGGCTTCACCCTTTCCCCGTCTTCCTTCCCCTCCAACAAGGTTGGGGGTTTGCGGCCCTTTTTGCAATCAGTACTTGCAGGCTGGAACTCTGCCAGCCTGCAGAGCTCTTTGCAAAATGGGGAAATCCACAGGTTTCTCTGATAAAAGGTAAAATCTGTCCCCCGTCCCTCCCCGATAAAATAAGGAAATCTGTGGTTTTCTCTGTTTTTCTGTGGGAAACAGAAAACCCAAATCCCTGCATCCCTGGCTGGGGATGGGTGGGCGTGGCCAACCCCTTGTGGGCAAGGTCTGTGTGGGCCTGGCTTCATGCTTCTGAATGGCTGGAGCAGGCCTGGCGGGTCCCTCTTGCCTGTGGGCAAGCCCTGCTCCTCATTGGCTTGACATAGGTGGGCGTGGCCTCTGTGGGTGGGCTCAGCCACTCCGGGGGTGTGTCCTGACTTCTCCCCCGCCCCGCGCTGGGCAGGTACGAGCAGGTGACTCACAGGCACTGGCGGACCTGGCAGGGCTGGTGGCGTTGACACGGTGCTATGCCACAGCCGAGCCCTTTGTGGAGGCCAAGTACGACGTGCGGGTGCAGAAGATCGGTGCTGCCTACAAAGCCTACATGTGAGCTGAACTCCTGGGTCCCCTGTGCCAGCCCTGCCTCTGGGCCCCACCCCCTGCCGGAGTCAGATGTCTTGGTCCTCTCCATGAGACCCACCCCAGCCCCCAACTGCTGTGTGTAAACCGGATGCTTGGATCCCTCCCCTAGGACCCCTCCTCTCCAGCCCCCACTGCATGGGAGCTGGACACCTGGGTCCCTTCCATCAACCCCCCCCGCATAGCTCCCCCGCCCGCATATCCCCCATCTTATGAGCCAGAGTGGACACATGAGTCCCCCAGCCTATGGCCCCTCCCTCTGCAGCCCCCAAAGCCACCCAGTCTTTGCCAGTGTCCCCAGTACCTCCAGTAGCGCCCCCCAGTCCCTTTCTGGCACCCCCCAGTGACTCCCAGTCTCCCCAGGCGAACGTCGGTGTCAGGGAACTGGAAGACCAACACCGGCTCGGCCATGCTGGAGCAGATTGCTGTGTCAGACCGGTGAGGAGGCAGGGCTTCTTGGGTGGGCCTGCCCCAGGAATCCCCATTGTCTGGAGGGGTGGGGCCTGTTTCTAGCTGGGCAGAGACAGCTATTACAGTGCTGGATGGGGGAAGCCTAGTGATGAGTGGGTGGGGCCTGCTTATATTCCAGCAGGGCCTCCCTAGGGTGGATGGGGTACCTTTCAGCTGTGGGCAGGGACTATCACTGGGTGGGTGGGGCCTCTCGCTGGTGTGGGCGGGTTGTACTGCTAGGTGGGCAAGCCCCTCCATGGTGTGGGCGCTGTCTGTCCCTGGGTAGTTGGGGCCTACTCTTAAGTAGGTGGGGCCTTTCCCTGTGATATGGGCAGGCCTGGCGGGGAGCTTGAGCCCCCTGGCTGGGCTGGTGGCAGTGGGAGTATCCCGAGGGGATGGGGCCTGGCTGGGGGGGGGGTGTGTCCAGCCCCACCCCTGCTAAGCCCCGCCCCCAGGTACCGGCGCTGGGTGGATGCCTGCTCCGAGCTCTTTGGAGGCCTTGACATCTGTGCTGTGGAGGCTCTGCATGGCAAGGATGGGCGCGACCACATCATTGAGGTGACCTCCCCCCACTTCTTCACTGCCTGGGTCCCCCCCAACCCTACCACGCCTGGGTTTCTCATTCCCTGGACACCTGGGTTCCTCCCCCTAGCAGCTGGATCCCTTCTTTCCTGGGATATCTGGGTCCCTCCACCTGGGTTCCTCCCCCTGGACATGTGAGTCCCCTCCTTTTCTGGACACCTGGGTCCTTCCTTCCCCCGCCACAGCAGCAGCGCCCACTACCACAGGGTCTCATGGCCAGCAGAGGGTGACCACCCACCCTTCCTGCCCTGGATCCCTGTGTCCCTCGATTCACCCGCCCATCCTCCCCACCATTCCCCTCCAAGACACCTGGGTCCCCTCATGGATGCCTGGATCCCTTGACTTACCCCCCCGTCTCCCCCTCCTTCCCCTTTAGGTGGTGGGCTCCTCCATGCCACTCATCGGAGATCAGCAGGACGAGGACCGGCAGCAGATTGTGGAGCTGGTGCTGACCCGCATGGCCCAGGCACTGCCCCGCACCCCCAGCCCCTCTCCTGCCCGTGGTGGGCCCCTCCAGGTACTCTTCTGGGCCCCATCCCCTGGTCTCCTAGCTGCTTGCACACCCATGGAGGCTGCCTGAGGTGACCCCAGCCTTCCACAGTTCCCCAGATTTAACACAGTTTAACACAGTTTCAGTTGCCTGTGTCCTCAAGGCTTAATCCAGATTAACTCAACCATGTACATGAGGGTCTCTCAGGCCCACCCCACCTGGGGAAGCCACCTGAGGTGCCCCCAACCCTGTTCCAGCTTCTTGGATTTAACACACTTTAACTGTAATGCAATTCTTATCAATAATCAATTTTTTAGCGGTGGTGGCTGTGTGGCAGAGTTTCTACCTGCCATGTGGGAGATCTAAGTTCAAGTTTTGGGTGAGGCAAGTGACAGGGGCGAAATTCTTGTTGGAGTGGAGGAGGTCATTGTATTTTCTCAGTCTTCCCCAGTAGTCTGATGGTAAGGGTATCTACCCTAGGTGGTAAAGGTTGTGGGTTCAAGCCTTAGTCTAGCTGAAGACCTCTGGTCCCTGAGTGAGGCTGTGTTGGGTTGTGTGGGGGAAAGTTGGGATAGAGGTTGGGTGGGGGAAGGAAAGATTAGGTATGAATAGGAGAGGGTTTTTTTAGCTGGGCCCTGTGGTGCAGTGCTGGGCCTTTCATAGTAGCTAGGGTCAGGAGGGACCTGAACAGATCACCTAGCCTGACCCCCTGCCACAGGCAGGAATGAATGCTGGG